TTTTCTCTTTTCTTTTTTTAAAAAAAAAAAAGCATTTTAGTCAGACTCAAAAATGTTGGGAGTTTGTCTCCACCGCCCACCGTGGAGGATTATCCGCGTTCTACATGTTACGTTGCTATACTCTCTCACGGTGGTTACCGATCACCTAATTTTCTTTGGCGATATTACAATTTTTTACTTTTAGATTTTGAATTTCGGAATCGTTTTGATGATAAATTTGTTTCTTGTTTGTGGTTGTGTTTTATATGTTTACAAGGTGTTATTAATTCGGTCCATTGTTTCGATGTATTCAAGAGGAAGACGACAAGGTAATTGAAGAGATTTATCATTAACAACATCTTAACACAAAAGATGAATATCCTCAATTACCCTTTCCTCTTCTTCTTTAATATATTGAAAGAGTGGACCGAGTTTGTAACACCTTATAAACCTAGAAAAATAGCCACAAACGAGAAACAAATCCATTATCAGAGATGAATCCAAAATCCAAACAAAGAGCCACGACTATTGAGGAAAATGCGGTGAGAGTATGGCCACATCTCGATCCCGGAAAACCCTCTTTGGTGTCGATGAAGGTTTGTAACAATTCGTAGTTAAGAAGGAGATGGATATTGCCACAAGTTTGAAGAAGTCATGATTCAACACATATTCAGTTTGAATTCAAAAGTGGTGGATCTTCCGGTAAAATGATTATTGAATAAGAGAGGGGGGGGGGGGTTTTGAAATCCTTTTTTAGTTTTTTCTTTTCATAAATTTATGTAATGGTACGATCTAAAGGATTTGATTTTGTCTTTTCATAATTGACTATCTTTTCTTTTCTTTTTTTTGCTAAAACATAATTGATAATCTTAAACAGTAACTTTTCAGAAACGGAGAACTTAAGTCGGGCTTATGGCTATATAGCAAAGCAAAAACGAGCAAGACACCTGATTATAGGACTCAGAAACAGTTTGTTTCTTTTACTGAATTTAAGAAATTATACCTTCTTTTTTGTTTTTTACATCAAGAAATTATACCTTTAGGCTTTAGGTTTTGATGATTATTTTATTTTTTTATGCAATGGTATATGATTTCTTAGTTCCATTTTCATCTAAGTGTCATAGAAGAAAACAATATATTTTATTTTTAAATTCTTCGCTTTCACACTGCCCTAATTCTAAATACAATCCAAATAAACGACTCAGTCAAAAAGATTTCTTTTTTCTACATGATAAGAAGAAATCATAAAAAGTAAAAACTAAGATGGTATGATTTTTATGATTTTTAGGTCTTAGTTTTGAATGAGTTGTTTAATCGGATCCTGTTTTTATGATTTTTATTATTTAGTTAAAAACTATTTTTTAATTAAACTTTTGAAATTAAGAGGACCAATCTATTTGACTCTAAAGTATATAATCCAAATCTAGATACTTGTCACAGTTTCCTTAAAAGATAATTCTAGTTGACTTTGACCATTGATCTGATCACACCAACATCAGCAACCAGGAAAAATTAAATTAAAAGAATCTTTTTTTTTTCTTATGCTATACTGAAACACTCATATATATGTATGAAAACGAATAAAACATATCGTCTCCTTAATTTAATCTCCCAAAACACAATACTACAAGAACCACAACGCATGGATGTTGAGAACCGCGGTTTTTTACCAATCAAAAAAAATTTTAAAATGTAAATCTGCGTTTTGGCTGAAAAACAAATCAAAGAAACCTCCATTCCACAAGTAAGTGAGTTTCCACTAGTTTTTCCATTGAATTAGTTGAATTATTTTTTTTTACCATTTTACAAAGTTAGTTTCTATTAGGGGTGGAATTATTATCCGGGATCCGAGAACAGATCCGTTATCCGTTCGGAATCGCTTCGAAAATTATGATATCCGGGGAGCCCGGATCCGGATAAGGATAGTAAAATCTAGGATCCGTGAAAAGAGGATCCGGATCCGGATAACAAAATTTTAAGGTCCGGATATCCGGATCCGAACGCATTAAATATATTAAAAACATATATATTATATATCTATTAAGCTAATTTTATATAAATAAATATATATATATATATAAATTGATTTTAGTTTTTTTATATAATAAATTATATTTATAATAAATATATCATTTAAAATATTAATTAATAATTTTAAAATATATTTTTATTTATTTATTAATTATTTTAATTATTTTTAATATTAATTT